GTGGGCAGAGCACAGATAGCCCATCGTGTAGCTTTGTGCTTAACTTCCAAAACAAATGAAACAGTGGCTTAGCAGTAAGTTTTTGGGCTTATGTTGCTAAAAACAGGTTTTTGATCTGTGGTGGGCACAACATAAATAGCCCATTATGTAGCTTTGAGCATAAATACTTTTTTCTTTAGTTAATATTATTTGTTTTACTGTTATTGCTTTTTACTCATATGTAACTAATCTTTCTTTATTTTCTAGATATTAGTTTGCCCAAATCAGCAGCTATATGTTATACAGCTGCACTGCTGAAGGCTCGAGGAGTTAGTGATAAGTAAGTGCAGTCTCTCTTGAGTTGTAGTAAACAAAAATAGTAAAAGTGTTGTTTTTAATTTTCTATGATAAGATTAGTAATGGTAATGGATCCATAGAACATTGGCTTTAGTAACTTAGTTTAGATGGCTTGTTTTTAACCCTCTCGCTACAGGCTCGGTGGATTACATTGACCTTGTGACCATCAAAGTTTTCATGATATAACTTTTGATATGTTTTGTGAAATTTGCCACTCTTTCAGTAAACATTAAAAGTCTTGTACACAGAAAATATTTTTAGTTATGTATTTTTATTAAAAATCTGTTCATGAATACATATAAAGTCAGAGTGTTGACTGCTCCAATGAGCAAAGTGAATTTTATGTTAAGATCAAAAAACATTTTCCTTCACCTGAAAATTGTTAAATTTCGTTTTGTAACTCTATAAAAACGACCAAAATAAACAACACTTTTTTTAGTAGAATTTTTTATTTTATCTGTTCTTTTTTCTACCCTAACTCTGTATGCATTCAGTAAGTTGATCAACCTCATAACCACCATAAAATATACAAAATTAATTTAAGTTACTCTTTTTTCTTTCTAGAATGGCTGTAAATTGTAACAGGAAACTACAATTCTTTATCTTAAATAGCTTAAAGCTCATAACAATATACATCTGTTTATACTTCAATTTTATTGTTTTATTGTTCTTTGACCCTTGTCTAACTAATAATCCTGTCATACAAGTTGTCAATCACTTGGCAAACACGTAGCTCGAATTACCTTATTGAATGAGGTGCTCATGAGCATACCTCTTGAAGAATTATTATTATTTTACCTAATCTAACTTTATCTAACCTAATAGTTTTCTAATTTTTACATTTTAGTTCCTTTTATAATAATAAAGAAAGAATATATGTGAAAAACAAGAAATATGTTACCTGTGTCCTCTTGTTTTTTTTTGGTGTCAACTTTCAATGAAAGTTAAGCCTACTTTTTTAATACTAATAGTACTAAAACACTAAATTTTTATTTAATTAAATAATGCACCTAATAACACACACAAAGCAAACAATTTCTTATAGCTATCATAATTTATCTAGCTTTTTAACTATGAAATAAGAGCCTTTTGAAAATTTAGCTAAGCTTGTCAATATGAATACCAATAGAAAGCTTTTCAAACTGGAAGCAAAATAGACAGTACTCTGTACAGAAAACAATGTAATATAATATTCAGTTTTTATATTAAAACCTTGCCTTTCTGTTGGTTATAAATAATATAGTATAAATCATCAGAGAGGATGTTACAGATAGGCATGGCCATTTGGCCTGATTTTCTAGTTGATGACTTTATAAACAAATAAAATTGAGGGCTATAAAAATTATGTTTTGCTTTAGTAATAACTATATTATAATGAGTAATTTATGTTAAATTCTGTACTTCTCAGAGGGATGGTAAATAAATTAGGTGAGAGGGAAGACCTAGAGAACAAATGTCACTATTCTCATACTATGGGAGATTGAGTTTTTTTTAAATATTTCCTTATCAAAATAAGAACTTAAAACTTGTATAATATTAAAAGTTGATTTATTAACTACATTTTGATATCAAGTTTATTTCTGTACAATGATAGTATAATAAAGTAGTTTAATTAAATTTTGAATGTAACTCTCTATAAAATTGTGACATGCTCTTTGACCTACCAGTAGCAAGCAGGTTAATGATCTGTAGTTTTGCTGATTATTTTTTCTTTCTTAAATTTCAAAATGAATCTTCTTCTTAATTCCAACTATGTGAGAAAATGACCTTTTTGTTCATGTATAAATTGTATGTAAAAATACTTCATTAAAACAAAAACTGATTTTCTGTGTACAATTGACTTCTAATGTTTACTAAAAGTCTGCCAAATTTTATTAAGATAAACATGCTGTATTAAAAGCTATACAATTAAAACTATATATATAAGTAAAAATGGTCACGTGGTTGGTCCCTGTGACCAAGCTCATATTGAAAGAGTTAAAGAGAATAAACTTGTAGTCACTATTTCTTATATATTGTTTTTAACACTGCACAGGTGTAGTTATTCAGTAAAAAAAGTTTATTAATTTTATACATAAAAATAAATAAAAAATCAGAGACTTTGGTTTTGGGTTGATTTCAGAGTGCTCCAAATTAAAATATTAGTGTTTGTGAATTTTCTTAATTCTTTTTTAACATGATACAGCACTAATAACTCTGTAGGAGAAAATTGAAGTAGTTTTGAACAAAATGGCACCAGTTTGAACCATGTAACTTTGATACAAATGTAGTAGTTTTATCAAGTTTTAACAAATCATTGTTTCTTAACCTTGGTAGTCATTGTTTTATGTAATTACCTATACCTCAGCTTTGATAAGTTGCAGGTAAATGATCTAAACTTGTAATGAAAGCTCTTTTTCTGTATCTTTCATCTGTGTAAGTCAATATAACTACCTCATTAGCAGAGAACCACCTAGACATTGGAACAAAATGATAAAAGCTTAACTTGGTGATATAGTTAGATCATTTTTACTTTGTTATATCAAGATTCATTTCACTAGCAAAACAGTCAGCCTGATAAGTAAGTGCTTGAATGAGCTAAGAAAAATCATCACAAAATTATATATGAATGAATACAAAACAGGTTAAAGCTTGTTAAATTTATTAAGTAAAGCCTTATGGTTAATGATTAAAAAAGTCTGCTTGTTTATTATCTTGGTATAGTAAAAAATGTTATTTTTTATTTACACCAGTGATAGTAAACACAGTGAAATTGCATGCATTATTTTTTTATTCAGAACAAAGAAAACATTACTGTTTTATACAATAAAATATGTATTGGAAGCTTCACAATAATATAGGAAGATATAATTTGTAACTGAGATCTACAACAAAAGGTAAGCATTTTTATTCTTTCTTAAAAGATTTCACAAAGAAATCTATTTTGGATTTCTAAAGCTGAGAATCCATACAGAATACTACATATATAATTAATGCGCTTGTATTTTATTCCCTTTGTTTCATGTGCTCTGAATCAAATTTCTTCTGAATTAAGGAAATATGGTAAACAGTATATGGTTCAGAACAGCTAATTTTAAAGCTATTGTAATTGATAATATTGGATACATATGTATATATCTTTAGATTTTCACCAGATGTAGCATCTAAAAGAGGACTCAGTACAGTAGAAATGAATGCTGTTGAAGCCATCCATCGAGCAGTTGAGTTTAATCCTCATGTTCCTAAGGTACTTGTGCATTTATTTTATGGTTTCTGTCAAGCCTTTCTGTAGTTATTTTGCTAATCTGATATACATGTTTTGGGAAATTTATGTATTTAGTATGAACTAAAAAAATTTAGAAGATGACCATTTACATGTAGTTTTCACAGCTGGTAGTAGTAGACTTGACTGTTGGTCCCACAGATCCTGAAGTATATGGAAATATGATAATTAATGATTGGATGTTGAAATAACACTGAGTGCTCTGACTGTATGTAAACTGTGGAGAGATGCAGCACTATATATGCTGGTAGAGCACATTATACCACATTTGGTCCTTCAAGACTGTCCTTGCAAACCTACCCTTCTAAGTAGTAAAAATGCAACTTATCTTTTTATTTTTTTCACAAAATCATAGATTCCTCTCTTAAATTTGTGTAAGGTGCTGACCTCTAGTAATGCCAACAGCATTTCATTCCATAAACAAATCACCTTGTTAATAATAAAATAAAACTGCCTTAACTCTGTATATGTGCTCAGTCATTTTGTCTGACCATTTAGCCACCATGTAAGCATGAAACTGTACATACTGTAACTCTGAATGTACTAAGTGTTTCTTCACAATTTGACAAGCTTATAGTGAGATGACAAGTATGTTGTGCAAAAAAAATTGAATTTTTAATAAAATATTTGTACTGATGATTTGTTTGTGAATTTACAAAGTCTTTACTAAGTAAGTTTGAACAAAGGGGGATTTTCATACTAAGAATAAAAACACTTTTTTAATATCGATAACACCTCTAAAAAAGCAAAAAATGAGAAGACATTTAAAAGCCATCTTTGTCATAGTGTTTTTGGTTATTATTATTATTACAATATATTTTTAATGTTTTATTTATTATACTAAATAATGCAAAACAAATCTACCTATTGACATTTTTATGCAAAAGATATAAAAAATGAATTTGTTAATATTATTTTCTCTAAAACTACAAACAAAATTATTGATCGATATAAAACAAATAAGAAAAAGATAGATAAATAGAAAAAATAGACCACAACAGGTGCAGGGAGAGAAGACTCCAAAGGTATCCCTAGAAAATATTTAATGCCTTTCACACATTACAGAACATTTAACAAGAAAAACAAAGCAATACATTTAAAACACTTCTTAATCAGTCCAATGTGAACTCTTTTTTTTTTTTTTTGTTATTCAAAGTAGTATATTGCTTTATCTCATTTTGTTCACATGGATTTTTTTACACTTGTAACCCTATAATTCACCACACCTAAACTTGTATTGCTTAGATATTTTAATAAGTCATGAAGTACTAATGCAACACTCCAATCATAGTGGAACACACCGAAATGCCATTTCAGCACTTACTTTTGTAGCCAGAATAGTGTTCCGGCACTTTTTGGAATCTTTTTGACAATAAATAAAAATCTTTTTACAGCAAATGATGTTCGAATTTGACCACACACACACACACACACACACACACACACAC